CGCCGCGCTGAATGTTGCTCCCATTCCTAACGGATGCATATGTGCGCATTCGGACCCGTAGACGTAGTGATTCCTTTTGCAGTTCAAACCGGATCTTCTCGTGAGGTTTGCGTGACGTTTGTCTGCATTATTTTCCATCCACCGTCATTGATCGTTTTCGAAATATTCATCGTGATCAAATAGAAGCATCATGAGCGAAAGGTGAAACACAGTGGACGAAGAATACATTACCAGGGGAATAGTGTAGTCGAAAAAATCAATATTCGTTGTTTAGCATCGCAAATTTGAGTTTTACAAGCACTGTGTTAGTCGGTTTCGGGCATCAGTATACTAGTGAATTTACTATGATTGTCTATTACCTTCACATACTGCAAAGATCGATAGACCTACTTCACATAGGTGATAAAAATTGTATTATTATTGTTATTATTATTCTCAATATTGATCACAACTGCAATCAGTTTCAAGATAAATGTGTGTTGATCATTTCCGTTTTCAGGCAGTCGTGAATCACCCATAGACGGTTCGGACAAAGGGTCGCTTGTGGATTTGGCAAACAGTGAAGCGGTGCAACGCAAAACGGAACTCGACTTCGCGCACACCCTGATGAGTCAGCCGGCCGAGATGGGACTCGACTGTGACTGTATCAATTCCGAACCGGATCTGGTCCAGACAATTTGTGCACCAAACTGTTACAGTAAACAGGCAATTCGACTGGACAAACGACTTTATCAGATTGATGTGGCGAACGCTCGGATAGCTACCCTGGGCAGCTTGGCCGGCGCCGCAGTCCTCGCGTCCGACCAATTAGCTTTGGAATTCCTGCAAAACACGCGGGATCGAATGCGAAAGCAACAGGTGACGCTGTTCGACGAAGCGGACAAAATGATTTCCACATTCATGGCCGATCCGAAAAGTGTGCTGAACGAGAACGAAACAAAACTCTCTCCCCGATCACCCGAAGCAACCGATAAGGTCCAATTCATTATTGATGAACCAGACACAGATACACAGGATCTGAGATGGGAAATGAACAGCTTACATTTCAGCACGGATGCCACATCTAGCGAGAGTGACGAAGAGGGTCCTCCACCGGAGGAAATTCAAAATTTGGCCAAAGAGATCCGCAAAACCGAAGGAACCCGGTACAAACGAAAAGGTTTAATTCATCGTCATAAAACTAACGGGGACAGTGGAAGTATGATCAAACCACCACCACCCAATCCTCTAGGTCATTCACGACGAGCTCTGATGCGATCCCACTCGACCGTGCCAGGTGGTATGTGCTCACAGGGTCAGTCTGCTCTTGGTTCAAACATATCCCTCGTATCCACCGGTCACAATCAGCAACAAGCATCCAGTCGTGGTCTGAAACGCAATCAATCTACGAATGCCGGATTGCCATTCAATTTACTCAGTCTGACTGGTCAACTATCGTGGCTTGTCTCAGAGTACATGGAACGGGGCAGCTCCACATACCAGTGGGCTTGTGAATTGATTCACTCGATCAGTCGAATGTCGGTGACCCGTTCCACCTGGCTAAATGTGCATCAACAGTTGCGTGAGACCACGGAACTGTTGTACGCGCATCGGGGACGCGCGCCAAAACCGGTCACACCAACAGCCGCGTCAGCCAAAGGTGAGATCGCATGGACCAATATACAAGGCGCGTACCAGGCTATCATTATGGGTGATAGTAACGCGGCCACGGTGACCGCGGAAACAGCCAGACAATTGTTCTCATCGTGCAACACGAAGACAGATAAACATTTGACCAATTTGAACAATTTGTTAGAAAAGAAATTCCATTTGGCCTATGTGTGCGATCTGATATTGTGGCGTGCGCATAAAGTCCTATTCATTGCACAAGACAGTCGAGAACGGGATAGTGGATTGCAACAGTTAACCGATTTCCGGATACGACTGATGCAACTGCGTTTGGATCAGGCGAATGTGCAAAACTGGTCACCGGAACTGGTCGACTGGATACTCCGATGGTTGGATGAGGTGATTGACAACAAATCCGGTCACCGTCCACCCGGAGTGGATCGATATTGTTTGAACGAGTTGCATGTGTTTAAAACATCCATTCAAAGATTTCACACACTTGTCCAGGATATTGCCCAGTCCGAGTTCACTTCAGCCGATTATCTTAGCGCTATTGTAAAAGACGAGGACAATCTGAGTATGGCCACTGGGTATGCGGACAGTGTTACCACGCATCAGAATCATCATTTACATCCGTATCATTATCATCATGGGCAAGGTGGTCATCAACAGGATCTACGTCCACTGGATGCCGATCGTTGCTCTCACACGTATGCTGCTCTGATTAAACAAATTCACGATCATGCGATGAGTCAACGTCCGTTGAGCTATTTTGCCGTACGTGCCCTGTACGACATAGCCATGGAATTGGGCTGTGAGATTGACTGGAATGAACGAATGGAAACATTGCAAGGGGAATTGGAGCGAGCGTTTGAAGAATGGGATCAACTGTTCAAAATTCGATTCCCACCGGACTATTACGATCAGGTGATTGGGAAGGGGACCCCAAGTGAATTGTGAATATCCACTTAGATATGTGCCTGAACTAGACAACCCAGAGAACTCTTTCTTTTTTACTTGAAAATAAATGTTTTACCAATATTTCATGAATCACGTGATCGTTTGCTCT